AAGTAATTGTGCTACGTCAGTTGGTGTATTAGCAAGCTAATATACACACATTTACTTTAAGACTGCTCTGTTCTTTATGTAATTGTTTCATAAGTTGAGAGTACAGTAGGTGTGGTCCTGAGATTTAACGACAATGCACAACAATACAATAAGCAACAGTAATTTTAGATAATTAAATGTGGTTTCTACAACACAAGAGAACAAACAGAGATCAATACAGTTAAACGATGAAATAACTGTGTAGCTATATGTTGTGTGTGTATATAAAATCATTAAAATATATAAACCATTTGGTGCAGCATGAAAGACCAGCATAAGGGTCTACTAAATGTAATTTTATACATAACTAAACCATTAATAATAATGGAAATGTAATATGTTGCAATCACCCATGAAAAGGGAGAACTGAAAATGGGAGATTTCCTGGAACGGTGTCCGCCTCACTGACAGAACTGACTCATAGTTTGGCCGTAACTCCTGTCAGGAATAGATCCTCTTGCATAAACTGAAAATGTTATACATTTTACAGCATCATAGCCTGTAAACAAATATCCAAATTTATGCAGTAAGTGATATTTGGGAATAACTATTTCAAATACCATTCAAATGATAGGAATCTCGATTTGATCACTTTAGCAAGTAAACGTGTTGACCCTATTTGACCCATCTCTGTCTTGGACAACGTTGGTTGTATGATTGACAGGAATGGCGCATTTTGCAGTTTTGGAATACAGAAGGTTGAGACAAGTTGAAGTCTTACTGACACCAGAGACGTTATACATTCCATATTGCTTCATGGCCTGGAAGCCAGAATGACCAGAGATATGTTGTATGCATGTGTGTGTCTGTGTCTACCTGGTATTCCCTACGTAATGGGGACCAAATGTGACCCCAACCGGGATAGTACCAGTAAATTTTGACCTTATGGGGACCTTTTTTGGCTTCCAAAGTTTCCATGAGTTTTTTGAAAATCTAAAAATGCAGAAAGCCTTGTGTGATGGGTAGGGTTAAAGTAAGGGGACAGAAAATACAGTTTGTACAGTATAAAAACTGGTAACACTTTACAATAAGGTTCATTAGTTAGCATTAGTTAACTGCATTAACATGAACTAAGTTTGAACAATACTTCTACAGCATTTATTAATCTTAGTTAATGTTAATTTCAGCATTTACTAATGCATTGTTAAAATCACAAGTTGTGTTTAACGTTAGTTAATGCACTGTGAACTAACAATGAACAACTGTATTTTTATTAACTAACATTAACAAAGATGAATAAATACTGTAATAAATGTATTGTTCATTGTTTGTTCATATTAGTTAACACATTAACTAATGTTAACAAATGACACCTTATTGTAAAGTGTTACCTAAAATCTATTACATCTATAGAATGTCCCCATAATGATAGGAATACGTGCGTGTGTGTGTTTTGTATTTTTTAACTTACCATTTCATTCATTCATGCATTCTTGCATGCATTCTTGCATTCATTCATTCATGCATTCATTCATGCATTCGTACTTTCATGTAGCTGCCTGTACTTCTATGCCTGTTGCCTACATAGAACGACAGTAATCTTGGTGATGCCAAGATGGCCACCAGTGGTCATGTGCTTAAACACTACAGCTTCAACGTATGCAGAGAGCATGTGTAAATATCCACATTAGGTCATTGCTTACTTTTGTTGCTTGTAGTTAGGGCTTTATCCCTGAGCATGATGTAGCATGTGAACAATTTAATGTATAAGAAACCGGAAGGATGATTAAATAGGAAGTTAATCTTTGACTAGTATTGTGTGATTCACAGCATTAATAAGAAGTTGACATCAGTTCCCAGCTTAAGCTCGGAAGCTGGTTTTGTGTGTCAAGCTATTCTTCTCTGTAGCACCTCTGGGTGAATGAAGTCATGCTCTTTCTACATAGACCATTCAAAGTGTACCAGAGTGGGTATCTGAGTGCTAAGTGAGTGCACGCAAGCTTATGTCAGTCAGTCTCTAACTCAAATTACTAATAAGACAACAGAGTCGATGATAAAATAAATATTGTGCTGCTTGTCCTACATATCGAGACCTTTTGTTTATGTTTGTGTCTGAAAGAGAATAAAGTCAATGTACTATTCAGTCAATGACCTAACATTTGTGTATGACCATACTACCACATGAAACGGGTTCAAACAGGCTTCCAAGTCAGCATAACTTTGTGGCTAATGATCTAAAACAAATTCAGTAGCCAATCAAATATTTACAATAATTATTGTTGATAAAAAAAATGGAATAATACTGGAAAAATGGAAAAAAAACAGGTGGAAAAAGGTGTCTTATTAGGCAAGATGTGATGATAACAATGAATTTGGATGTGCCTTGATGCCTCTATACTGTGTGTCTATTCCCTATGTTCAGGTTTCAGAAACAAACTGTGTGTCAGTAGCCAATCAAATATTTACAATAATTATTGTTGATAAAAAAATGGAATAATACTGGAAAAATGGAAAAAAACAGGTGGAAAAAGGTCTTATTAGGCAAGATGTGATGATAACAATGAATTTGGATGTGCCTTGATGCCTCTATACTGTGTGTCTATTCCCTATGTTCAGGTTTCAGAAACAAACTGTGTGTAACACAACAAAAAAAGACATCCAAACCACATCTGAGCTTTGTCATTCTGCTGTGCCTTTAGGTTAATAATGGTGATATTGTGTAATATAAGCAATTTCAGTGCTTCAAAGTCATCATAAAATTACCATTTTACATCTGACCATTTGTTATCTTGGTGGTGTTTTCATTGAGATGTGATTTCCTGAATGCATGAAGATGTGATCCAAACCAAAGATCTGTTACACCTGAGGTTTGTCTGGCTCAATCACCACCTATAACAACATGAAGACATTGACCTATTAGCTTCTTATTGCAAGATTAAAACTCTGTTAGTCTGTCAAACGTTACATAGCCCCAATCATCTAAGAGACACACAGTGAAGACACATTCACTTATGTAACCATAATGATTTACTCTGGAGCCAAGAGTCCTTACATTTGTTTAGAGACTTAAGGGGGTAGGTGCTAATTCAGCGACTGTTCAAGTGGCTGTTTAGACAACATGTAGCGCTCTTCAAGGTCTTCGTTAGTGTAATGCCAGGCCATATTCACACACAAAATTAGATCTAAATGTTGTTAAATTAAGGATGGTTTTATGAAACGGCCATCCTCCCCCAAACCTCTTTCTGGATGGACTCAATTACTGGTAAATGTTTTGTCTGTTCGCAGTTGTAAACTGACCATCATCTGTTTGTTTGACTTCCTCCCAGTAGACTCAATAAATGCTGTGTTTCCTCCCGTACAGTGAGGAAAAATGTTGAGTGCTGCTTAACAATACAGACCCTCTTTATGATAACCCGACTCGCTTGTAAATGCTCACGACCATTCGCTGACCCTGGAGAGGATATGTGTCTACATTATTAGTGTTTATTAAAGTAAATCAGCAACAGCAGGCAGCCTCCTCGGGCAAAATGAACAAACGTTTGGAGAATTCCGTTATCCCTAAAAGGCAGACATGAGGCAATTTCTCCATAAAACCTGAACCCACTAAAAAGTGGCTTTGCCAAGCACAGAAAGGCCATTTTGAGCATCCAAGAGCCAAATGACTTAATGCACATAAAATCAATTCATGAACTCATTTGTTGAGATTAGCTTTAAACAAGAACCGATCGCATTCTTTAGACCCGTCGTCAACGTTCACACACAAGCCCTCTGATTGACCGTCAGACAAACAAAGCGATCGTGTGTTATTCGAATCGACTCCAAAGCGCATCAGCGGACGTGCTAAGTGACTTCTGACAGCTCATTTGTTTTGGGCCTCCCACTAAAGATATTACCAGAGGCCAATACCATCAGTGAATGGGGTTCACGGAGATAAATTCAAGTATTTGTTTAATACAGACTTACTTTCTTTATGCAGCTGCCAAGTTCTAGATGAAATGGAGAGAGGGGGTTTAGGACAGTGGAACTGGATAAGACACAGATTCAGAGTATGAAAATCATCCAAACGCTAAAAATGGCCCACATTGGGGGATTTGTTTAAAGAGCTTTTGAGTGATTCATTGTCAGCGGAAAAAAACACACAAGTAGTTCGACAATTAACCTGCGTATGGGTGAATTCGTGTCTGTTTATTGAGTGCCTGTCTACTTGGAATTTATGGAAACAATTTCAAGATAGCTTTCTCATAATCGCATCGGCATGTGTTATAAGTTTAGGTTTTGTAATGTCTCGCATGCCTTTGGAAAACTGGGTTTATGTTGTAGTGTAGAGCAGCAATTCGCATCAGAAGAAAGAGAAGAACTCTGTTGTCAGATGCAAATCTTACACAGACCTTTATTGTTCTTTTAATAGTTGATTTTTACACCACATACTGTACACCGTCCTTCTCAATAATGTACATCCCTTCTCATTTACAAACTTTTACAGACATTTTGAAGTGGTCATAACATACTTTAACCTTCTTTAAACTGTTCATTCTCCTAAACATACTTTCATTTGCCTTCTCAAAACAACATCTTGGCTTTTAAACCAGTGTACCAAACCTTCCTACTTCATGAAGACACTACGAAAATATGAATAACAGCAAACCAATGTCCATGAATGGTTGCTAATATAGAGTAGCGCCAATCATCAAGTCCATCTAGTCGTATCCAACTCTATTCCAAAGTTTCCTTCTAAATCTCACATCAACATTTCTCAAGCCCTCATTCAACATTCAACTTTTCTTCTATCCGACAGTCCGTTTCTACAACAACTTTCTGCTTTGACAAGCATGTACATGCACTGGGCCCTCATGATAATACAGGCAGGACTCAACAAGTAAAGCTCCATGCAAGATCCGTCATTTTGGGGGGGGGGGTGGAAAACTTATGGCTCAGGTTTGATTTCTGCATTAACAAAATAGCTAATTTTCCATTTGGACAGTTTGAAATCAAATTGCTACAAAACGTAGCATTTTGTCTTGATAAAAATTATACCTTCTGATTTAAATATAAAATGGAGCTGATAAAACATCTGTTTAATGGGAATGTACTTGTAAGACTTGCCTTCCAGTAGAGCTATGAATCAGACTTTTACAAAGTATTCATTGCTTTGGATATTTCATCTTTTTTTCTCAGTGGGTATTCTTCCCTTCTAAAAGCTAAACACAGTGCTTTTAATAAAAACAAAAAAGAGCTACAGTAAATATCTTATTGATAAATTTAAAAAAAGTAAAACTTTAATTACAAAAAAAAAAAAATCAATATTAATAAAATAAAACAAAAATATGACCAAACTAACAATAAACAAGACTAGATGTGTGATCTTGCACTTTCACACAAACCAAGGTGGTGATTTAAAGTGTGCGGGATGCGTCTTCAATCTTCAATCCCTTGAGATCCACACAGTCGCCTCACGAATACTGTCTTTCTGGTACTGGTGCGGCCCACATGGACCTGGGAGGGTTTTGGGGGGAGGGATTTGGTAATAATAGCTGCCATTGTGGACAGTAACAAAAACACTGCTGTAGAAACACACAGTCCATACACACACATAAATACAAGTCCTCCACACAGTGCCACTCCATGTGCACCCTGGGATAGCTTAGTCTTTACACCATGGTCTCCTTTCTCTTGCCCAACGAGCAGATTGAACGCTTGTCCTTTTTGGATTTGCGGGGCAGGAAGGGGGCGGAAATTGAAGATGATGAAGAGGATGAGGAGAGAGTGGAGGTTGCGGAGGGCGTGGGGCTGGGGGACGAAGGGGCGGAGGCCGCGGCCCGTGGACAGTTCTCATCCGTCTCTTCCATATGGATGATGGCGGAGACGGAAGACGAGCGCCGTTTGGTGTTAATGTCGGTACTGGCAGGGGGGGACAAGGATTCACTCTCAGGGAGCGGCGAATCTTTCTGGGTCGACATGGCAGTGCGGAGGCAATTGATCCACTGTTGCTTGTGGAAGACGTCATTGACCTGCAGTGTGTGGGACTGGCCCTGAGATGGGTCCTGGAAGCGTACCCGGAAGATGTTCTTGGCTAAAGGGGGGAAAAAGATATTCCAATGAGCAAAAGGAAACAAGAAATGACAAAAGGAAAATGCGTGATCAGCTTGACGTTGAGAGTCGTCAACCTTACCTTTATCGGCATTACTAAAGGCCCCTCGGAATGAGCCGCCCATGCGGACGTCTCCATCCTGCAGGTCTTCCAATATGAGATCCTGCACTGGGATCGGCTGGCGGTACACCTGGAAACAGTGCCGATCGTTCCGTGTAACAGGCCGGGTCAAGACCAGAACCTCCGTGAAGAGAAACACATGCAACTTCTAAAAAGAGGACAAAGGAAAAAAGAGAGATCTGGTTATTGACGTGTTGTTTGAACGTTGGGCTGATTTGCAAGTATTAACAATTTTCTCTCCTGGCGCTCTCAAAGATTCCCTTGTCATTGTGTCATTTGTTTGAGGGACAAAGGGAGCCAGTTCCTTCCCTCTAATGGCCTTATTTGGAATATGGTGGCTTTTGTGTTTATATTTCCAGTGAATAAAAGACAAGTGATTTCCCTCCAGTGGTTTGGGCTGTTATGGGTGTGTTTGTATTGAAGACAAAAACTCACCGTGCCACTTTTGTTGCGAAGTTCCCCATGGCAAAGCAGGCTCTTGCACTGCTCTATGCGTGGGTCTTTCTGTCTGTCATCCAAATATTCCAGCTTATCGATATAGTACTGACACTCGGACTCCCCTTTCTTCATGTTTATGTCAGCCAACACGGCCTGAATGATGCTTATCTGGAGACAAGGAACAAAGGCAGCATTAACATCAAATGTCACCTAAACGACTCAATTTGAAAGCCTACAGTTACTAGATTTGTGTCTGAACTTACTGCCTGCTCAAGGCTTGCTGTGTCTAAGGCCTGGAGGGTCTGGCCGAAGCGTCGGACGGCCCCATTCTTCACGGGAGAGATGAGGTTCGCCAGCGAGGTCACTCGGCCGAGAGGCCTCACACGCTTCGTACAGGGTTCCTATGAAACACAAGGATGGAAATAAACGTTAAAACTTAATCAACCCCAACTGACCACAATAGATTCCTTAGTGCTTCATTAACTGCACAACTGCCAACACAAGAAGGCTAAAAATCGAGAATGGAGCACAAGTTTCTGCCTCACATAAACAGAGGCTATCGTATGAGTCACTGGATACACGCTCCATTGTTGCAGGTGTGAAGGGGTCAACCGGAGGTCAGGGTGATTGGTGTTTCCTGGGCAACAGGCAGCTTGGCAGAAGCTCCAGCCTCTGGAGGCAGCAGCTGTTATGCCAGTCACGTGAGATTGACCCCCTCAGCAAAAAAAAAATTATATATATACCTACACATACAAACATGAACAAAGACCCCTCTCTGGCTGCAACCCTGGAGACTCAGCGTTCAAGAGGCATGACTGGAATGTAGGAGACCTCAGTCAGCTGTCCCACACTGATGACCCACACGCACTCGACAACATAGCCTAACTATAGCAAACAGGCCCCCCTGATCAGGGTGGTTGTTCACTTAATGGAGACAAATTTGCTCTTTCAAGAAGACGTTTAAGAGCTGTTGGTTGTGTGTATTTATGTGGGTCAGACGGACCACCACGGTGAGTTACAGATTTGACCCAGGACTTTAAACAGGGTGCACTCTACTCCCTTCTACTCTGTTTCTCTCTCTCCTTTCCTCCATTAAGAGCTGTTTATGGCTTCGTGTTGAGGCAGGCCCTGTAGCCCTTGCGTGAGAGAGACCGGCACACCTGAACCCCCTGGAAGAGGGGGAGGTGAGCACTCTCAAACCTTATATCCATAATGACTGGGCCTCCCGCCAACTTCAACAGACCGGGGGGGGGGGGGGAATCCAAGCAAAGGAGATCTGAGACATTGATCCTACACTCTAGAGATCTGACTGAAAAATTCTCCTACCATTCCAGGAACAATGTATGCTTTGTCGTCAAAAAAAGTGTTTGCGTCTTTCAAACAACGAGAACAAAAAGCACTGTGTGCTTGCACTTTTTAAAAATGCACATTTCAATTAATTTTCCAGTGCTGGATGGTTTTCCAGCTGCTGAAAGTATATAAAAAAAGGATGTGTTGTTCTCTTGGCAAAGTGAAACCTAGGAACCATTCCTCCGACCAGCAGAGACAGCTGCCGAGCAGATCTACGACTTTATTTTAGCAGGAACTGCAACTGTGGCCCAAGCGGACTTGGCCACCCAGATCTGCCTGCCTGCCCTTCCTCTGCTGTAACATATAATGCAAGTAAACATGAAGACCACAACTGAACCTTCTCCACCGGTGGCCAAAAACACAAGATGTTGGGGAGACTGACCGCAGAGGAAGCAGTCTGGCTCAAAACTGGATTTAAATGAGCACCAAAGTACCTGTGTGAGCCATCACTGGCTCGAAGCAAATAATCGCCGTGTTGCTGCTGCCTATTGCACTCTTTCTACTATTTAGGGAAACCCTGCAATAATAAACCATTTTTTTAAATTCTAGATTATCTAGTGGAAAGAGCAACATGTAAGCAGACAGATAGTCTGATAGTGTGGCTATTTCTGGCTGTGTTGACTCGTAGGGACCCCCTGGGAGAGTCGCATTGGGAGAACTTAGCAGGGGGAAGCCTCCCCCACAGGAACCAGTATTTAGACTACTGCTGTTAAGTAATGTGTGAGTGTGTTTGCTTAGCTATACATTGGGGACAAAATTGCCACTAGAAGTTGGCTAAAGGTTCCATTGGGAATAACCCCCAAAAGTAGAGGAAAATTAAGTAATATAAAAAAAAAAATTATATATTTTTTTATTCTAAAAATGCAAAAGATTTTTAGGGGTACAGTTAGTCTATTGTTATTATTAGCTGTGAATAAAAACAAGATAAGTCTATGGTATTTTGGCATGAAAATGATTACCTGGCAAACAAACAATAATTTGTGATAAAAAATTAATGAGGGGAACCAAGCTCTAGTTAATGTCCCTCAGCCTTGAGCCACAACTTCCTTAAAATCTCCTGATTCATTCATAATTTGCTACTTCTGCTTTAGCTTTCCCGACAACTAAACCATTTCTGTGGCCACTTCCGAATCTGAATTGAAACCGCAAATAGGAATAGCAGCCTGCTGAAATGAAGTAAAATAAAAGCCTTTTTTCTGGGTCTTAAATGGATTTCTAAATACTCAGAGCAGGGCTCAAGCACACCTGGGCTATGGGCTGTGATTGCTTTCAGACAGCTGGAATGTTCTTCATCTCTGCATGCTCTCACACCTTCAAAAAAAAAAAAACCCTGAGGGGCTCCTCAAACCATTAATATACCTGCAAAACTTTTGCTCAGGTGTACAGCCAAACGCACAGGCTTTAAACTTCCTGTATAAGCACATTTAGCCAGCACAATGACAAACTGACAATTAAAAAAAAAAAGTTAACATGTAAACCAGTAACTCAATGACTATAGCTGAGAAGACCTTTAGCCTTGTTGATTTGCCGATCACTCACTCAGGTCTCACATCCTTGAGAAACACACCTGTAGTTCTTACTCCTTTAAAGGCAAGTGTGTGTACCAGATAACAACAGGGCAAGGTACTGACTTGGCTGATAAAGAAAGTAAAGGAACTCAAACATTTGTGATTAATTGCCTTTGGGTCTCACCTCTAGTTCTTTGCAAGTCTGGTTCTGGTAGTCTATCTTCTGTAAAGTCCGTTTGATGGGTACCACACAGGGTTCATCGTAAGCCACCATTTCTTTCAATAAAATCCACTGGTTGGTTTCTGTTATTTCCAAGAGTCGGCAATAATCCAAAAGTGATTCTTAAATAAATACGTGATGTAACATGAGGGATCTGAAAACCTCACCGTCCCCCTAACTTGTGATTGTCCGCCTGAGCGGAGCTTTCTAACTTCTAAACACACTCTCGGTGTGTGTACTCTAACAATCTCTAACTTTGTTCTAGGGATGTGAGAGGTAGGGAGTGCTCATATACAGAGAGTTTTGAAAGGGGCGGAATCAGGATGTAAACTCACCAATGGCAAGAGGGCGGAGGAGGGGATATGTAAAAGAATCTGAAGAGACAAAGTCTGAGAAAACCTGACTATCTCTGCAACCTCATATCAACAAAGATCGTCTACTAGATATTACCGAATCAGAAATGTATTATCAAAACATTTCATGGTCCACAAAGCAGGAGAGCTTATAAACATTTTGTAAAAACTTGTTTATTAAATAATCCTTTTCATTTTTATAAACTCATTTTCGGTTTTAAAAACCTAGATTTAAACCCTAATTAAAGTCATTTTGGACCTTAAACTAACCAACCAAACCTCCCATATTCCCCAGTTTGCAGTAAAAGTTTCAAGATAAAATGCAAAACAGTCTAGCTTTGTGGTGAGTGAAAGCAAGTCTGTTTCTATTTGCAATGTGGATTGGTTTATGTATGTCTTTGAGTTGCATGAAGGGTGTAAAGTACAGGCATAGTTGCTTTGAGATCTGCCTAATGAAGAACTGGGTCGTTATCACCCACTCATCAGCAGGGGAGGGGGGGGGGATGATCAATTACCATATCAATCAGGGCTGAGGGGGTCACACGTACACAGTGCACTGGTGGATGTCTGTGTATTGGAGGTGTGTGGGGAGGTCTGATAAATCAAAAAGTTTCACTGGTCCGAACCAGAAACTGACCCAGACCATGCCATAAACAAATCCTGCTTAACAAAAGCAGCTTTTCTCTATTTTTCTCAGCGTACACAAAACCGCACAGCCATTGACTTCCACATTTGGGTGACCAAAAATCCACTAGCACTGGTTCACTACAGACCCAAATCTTTTACTGCTACCTTCCCACACTGTCAGCAGAGGTATTAACTTCAGCTGTGCAAATGGACTAGCATGTGATGGAGCTTTTTAAGAGAGATTTGTGTTAAAAAGTGTGAAAGCGTTGGGATGCATTCTAAGCAAATGGAGATGAACGATGCGCAGACTCTAAGCTCACCTTCCTGTGTCAATACAAGTGTGTGAAAGGACATGCATTAGTGTGTTTGGATCAGGACACCTTCCACTGCTCAGTGGACGGGTCAAACGGAAGCAGGATTATTTGCTAATGAAGCTGTGTTCAGTTTACATGTTATGTTATTGTATTATTTAAAACATTACACTCCCTATTTTCACAACTAATCAGTGTATTTTCATAGTGTGTGTGTGTATAAAAATCACATTTACGTACTTTTATTATTTTTTTTTAAACTAACTATTTGAATTGTAAGTGTACTGAAAACCAACTAAAACCAAAACCAAAACCAACTACATTAACAATGACCAACTACTCTCTTCAAAACATCTTTCTTTGTGTTCCACAGAATAAGAAAAAAAATCATACGGGTTTGAAACAACATGAGGGTGAGGAAATTACAAGGTTTTCATTTTAAGGTAAACCATCCCTTTATCAATCCTTCTCAGTTCCTCAGAACAGCATTTGCAACATCTTCTTATAAATTAAGAAACTGAAAGTGCAACATAAATTAGATGACTAATCGACAAAATCAGATAAATGTAAACTTGTGAAATTATAATGTGAATTGCAGTAAAACATAGTAATATATGGCACATTAACCAATGTCAATGTCATTAATTTTACCACTACAAGTGGCTTTACTAAACAAGTGAAATTAGCTTAAGACATTTTTTTTTAGTCAAACTTGAGTAAAATAGTGTGTATGTAATTTTTATTGTGCAGTTTACAGTTTGTATAACATTTGTGTGCATATATTATAAATAATATTTAAATATACAAATATAATTTACATGTTTTTTTGTTACACTGTAATAAATTGTACTATTTTGGACAATGTTTGAAACTTTGTATTGCTAACACTTTTCCATGTTATTTCCTCCTTATGATAAATCATTTGTATTCTTCATTCTAAGTCGCTTTGGATAACAGTGTTTGCTAATGAATAAATATAAAACAGAAATTAAACACAAGAATACATGATTTTAATAATACTTTTTGACCCATCTTTGCCATAAGTATATTAGATGTTGGTGCTAGCAGTTCATAACCGATTTAGCAGCAGTTAATGGGTTTAATCATGTGACTACTCGGCACATAACGGTTGTGCAAAAAAAAAAAAAAACCTGAATATGTATGGCTAAAAATCAAATAGGGCTATGAGTGTGGGTGATATCAATAACAGGGTTCCTTCATCTCGGCGTGTTTTGACGAGACGTGTGGTTGTCATATTGCATGAGAGCTTGGCTCAGCCTGCACCCCCTGCAGGCTAACACCTCGACACACATGACAGCTGGACATCTGGGTGTGAAGCACAAACACAGCACTCCTACTTTAGTGCTAAACACCAGCACACAAGAGTGACTCACTTCATGCGGGCCGTGTGCGAGCTTGCCTAACGGGAAATGTGAGCTAACTTGCTACGATCTGATAAACCTCTGTTGAATAGGCAGCGAGCGGAAAGGTGTGCAGTGGATCATAGTGCTGCCCCCTAGTGGATAATTCAATAGTACTGCGGTTCAGGTGACTGTGATGGAATTTCACATTTTATTTCTTCGTGGCTGGATGGTCCAGGATGCATTATCTTTACTTGTACAGACTTTGATTAGCAACATAAAGAACATCTTATGATAAAAACCTCTTCTGTCCGAGTTTTTGAAAGCTTTCTGTTTCTTATCAGTGTTGGAGGAAATCGCATCTACTGTAACAAAGGTGTAGTTACAAGACAAGCCCGTACTGGGAATAGGCTGTAGGTGCGTGACGTCTAAATGTGTAGGTGTACATCAACAACGCAACACCAACTCTTTTTCTCTGGAATCACTCTATCAATTGCCATCTCAACTTCAATGCCCACCCCCATTCATTCATCTTATATGCCTTTTCACTTCCGTGATACAATCCTCCATGCTGCTTACAAAATGTAAATATGGTAACCCATCTTGTAAATGTAAATATTCCACACCATCGTGACATTCCAACCTGTATGAATTTCTTCAGTGGAACAAAAATAAGACATTTTGAAGAAGCTGACTCTATGGCTTCTGAAGACTTGGAATATAGCACAAAAAACACATGAGCCACTTTTATGGTGTGTTTGCATCCTTTCTGAAGCTAGAAAGCACCAGTCCACATTATAATTGCGTGCATCTACATTCTTTAAAACACCTCCTCCTGTGTTCCACAGAAGAAAAGTCAACGGGTTTAGAATAACATGCGGGTAAGAAAATGGCAAGTTTTCCATTTTAAGGCAAACTATCTCTATAACAATCTATCTCAGTTCCTGATAGTCATTTGCAGCATCCTCTTATAAATAAAGAAGCTGAAACCAAAACAGATAAAACTAAACTTGTGTTAAGTTATAATATGACTTGCAGTAAAACACATATGTGGCACTAGGGCTGGACGATATGGCCAAAATTGATATCACGATATATTTCTTAATTTCGGTCTTTATATAAAACACCCGCGACATTTTTTGATTTTGAAACGTGCAGTGCTCATGTTTATTCAACGAAGTCAAACGGCACAAATAAATCAATGTATGGGAAACACTGGTAATGTATATCGAAATATCGGAAATGTGTTTAAAAATCATATCACCGTTATTGAAAAAAATTATATCGCGATACATATTGATATTGAATTATTGTCCAGCCCTATGTGGCACATTAACATTAATTTTACTACTACAGTGGGTTCGCTAAATACCATAATTTGCTTTTTAGTCGTTTCTTATTTTGGTGTGCCACCAAAACTCCAACTACAGAAAAACAGATAAAAATCACACACATCCTGATCTCAAGGATATTTAACTCCAATTGAGTCAACGCACCCTCAACAGAGGTGGTTGCCACCAAACAGAGCAGGTAACTAATAACACACCCCTCGGTCCAGACACACAACAGAGTCAGGACGCATCCCACACACGCGTACGGACTCTTTCCTTCTCATTCTCACAGACTTAAACAATACATCGCAATCTGATCTGAATCAGATCAGACTTTAAGCTACGCCAGTTAAATTAGTCACAGAGTAAGAACTTCAACTGTGACCATTTAAAGACAACAACATGACACTTTTGTGAATACTTTTGTACATTGTGCAAATTTGGTAGTTACATTAAGCAGAATCTGGCGAGTATGCATTTAGCAAATCTCAATTTGACAGTCTCAGGATGACAATGTAAATGAATCAGAACAAGGCCCTGAGTGCAGAGGAAAATAAAAAGGGTGTCTGCAGGACAGGTGATTGATTGTACAAAACCCCCACCTCCCACAGTATGCATTCTCAAAGGTGTGCTGTGGGGAAGGGAGTTGGGAACTTTTGTTCCTCTAAGTTTCACTCTAGAATAGTCTGGGTCGGAATGAACAAGTGACTGAAATATTTCAAAGATGTGAAGTGAAGGCATTGAGGCCTTATTTATCAAGTCATTCCAAACCTGCATGACTTTTCTTTACTAGATCTATCTATGATTTATAATCTCCTACTCTAGCAATACTATACTAAAAAAAATACATTTGCCAATGTTGGGCATTTTGTTATGAGATGTTTTTGTGCAATAACGTTCGCCAGCATTTTTTCCATTCCTTAAGGCATGTAGGCTCTGGTGAATCAGAGCTCTCTCATCTCCTAGGCGCAAGACTGATGAAAGTCATCTCAGTTATATTGTTCTCCCGTCTGTCAAAGTTCAGAGGATCTGAGTGTGTTCAGTGCGACCTCTTACTAAACTGTAAAAAACATCGGGTTGCTATGGATGTGTATTAATAAGTCAACTGTTCTCTTTCAGAAGGAGAAAAGTACAAAAATAAACTAGAGAGGATTCAAGATCAGTGCAGAGTCAAATTACCCAACTTGTTAGTTTACACAGCAGCCTGTCTTAATTAAGCCCTTGCTGAAATGAGGATAATTACTGACAGTTATCATGGAAAGTTTACGGTTTAGGGAGAAATGACCTTTCCGATTATCAGTGGAAACGATTTTCTAAGATTAAATTCCTCCAGTTTAAGGTTAAAAGGCTTTGATTTCTGCCACAAACAAGTGATTTCATCTAGGATTTTTGTGCAAAATGGCTTTGATTTTGCTGACAAATATGGCGGGGGGGAGGGGGGCATTTTTTTCTTTCTTGATGTTGTTATGAGACTTTGATGTTGTTTTGAAGCATGTTGTGGACAGACTGACTTCAGGGAGTAATTTAAAAAGCAAGACCTCTTGATTTGTGTATTTCAATAAATCAGTTGTGCCAAATCTGCCCAATGTTGTTTTGCTGGTTTTCTTACCTTGAAGTCAAAGCTGCATAGACTGACAGCGTCTGCATCGTCCTTCTCTCTACGCTTGCGTTTCTGCAAAAAGGAAAACAACCTTTAAGAATCTGAAGCACAATACACATCTAAACTAAAAGGAGACACTTACAAAAACTGTAAAAACTTTCTGGCTTTGAGAGAGGAACCAAGGAAGACATTCTTTTGTCAACTTCTCTACAGTTTTCCTTTAGTTTCCTGAAGAATATGCAAAGTGCTACCTCAAAAGTTGGCATTACGGGTTACAATGGCTCATAAGGAGGTCCAGTGAGACTCAGGAAGGACATCATTATCCCTGAGGCATTTTAGCACCTGTTTCTGTGAGTCGGGAGCTGGTGGGGCATCTGGCTAGTGAAAATTCTACCTGTGGAGTGTGTGCAGGGTGTGAAGGGGTTATACATTTTTTTTGCAGCACTGCGTTGGCCACCAAGAGCCCTCAGGGTCTCTGTTATTGGCGTATGTTCTCTTTACTAGACTTTTCCCAAAACCACTTTACGAAACCTTTCAACACAGGCCATTTAAAGACAGTTTAGTTGGTGGCTGAGCTATAGTTTAATGAACCTCCCAAGAAGACATCAGCCCCTCCATATAACTAGACCCACATGGATCTGCACTTTTTTTATTTTATATTATAATGAAACAACATTTTGTATTTTATTCAATGATAATTATGTATGTATGTATACAAGCAATAGACAAAATATCATTATTAAACCCACAAGTAAAGTAGGAGGTTTTTGAATGTTAGTAAATCTTGACTATTCATCCAGAATGAGGCTACATATTGAAAAACGGGTGGTAGTTTTAATGTGCCCATAATCTACATTACACCTTTATATTCAACACTTACAAAACAGGGCTAGTTTGCTAGTTAAGTCACTTAAGGTTTTGTTTATGAGACAGGTATCAATTGAAAAGCCCCCATTCTTAATGTCACTGCCGCTAACAGAAGTAATGTCTTGATGAGCTCTGTTTTCTTATAGGGTGAAAGCATTTGTAAAGTCATGTGATCAAAACCAAACACCCTATAGTCAGCTCACGAGTTTCATTGAAGCAATGAGTAGATTAGGCTAATTTAACATCAGACCCATTGATGGCGAACAAGTTGGCAAACACACTAAAACAATAAATGACAAGCTATCATTTAGCAAATCCCCATTCACAGACAACAGGGAGAATTAATCAAGACCCTGATTGGAGGGTTTTAGTTGACAGTAATGATTGCTGGCCCATCAGAAGCTGAGCTACTGAGTGAATCACAGGTTACTCATGGTGTTTGGTTTTGAACGTTTTAATAGATAACACAGATAAGCGGCTGCTTTTGTGTTATCTGACCATGGAGAAAAGCTAATAGTCTGTAAGTTTACAAGTGGCACCGATACTGCTAGTGTATTTAGATAAAAATGTATGTAAAATTAAAAATTAGGTCACCATTGGAAAGCATAAAAAAAATCACTCGAAGAATAAAACTCTAAAGCTTCACAATAAGAAGAAAGAAAACTGAGAGCAACAAAGAAAAGGTCAAAATGATAGACAAGCCGTGTATTTTGGCTCCAAACTGCATGTTCCTGGTGGACAAACCATAAATGGATATTACTGCAAAGAATTTATGAGAGCAAACAGCAGCTGGCACGGAAAACATGAGATTATTAAACAAGCTCAATCAAAGTCACGTTTTTGGGACACTCTGCATATTGCAGGGGTCAGTAAGAGCTAGGATGAAGAGTTTGTGCACATGATGGCCAAGACATGTGGTTTTGACACATCTGGATAAAATCAATATGCACAAAGCCCATCTGTTAGAGAGAGAACACTGATTACCAATCAATGAGGGGAAAAAGTCTAAAAAGCAAAAAATGAAATGGAAAAGTCAACATGAAATGGTGTTTGCAACCCATTTAACTTCTGTAATGTGACATTTTCCAAGTAAAACTGGATATTCAATTAGAGAAAAAAGTAGGATGGGACTTCCATTAGGCTGACTGGATGTGAACAGTGGACAGTGGTTGGTAGAAAGGAGCTGAAAAATAAGACGGCCTGAAAAGTTGTTTCAAAGGGGAAAAAGGAAATCTTTAAAGTTGTGAAAAATTTAAAAATGATTGTTTCCAAACAGGTTTCTCCTCAAGCTACCATTGTTCAGGTAGTTTCATCCCAAACTGATGCCATCAGTAGAACCAATGCTGCAACTTAAGCATGTCACCTTTACAAAAAGACTTAGGGGCACATTTTTTATAAAATGAAAGTATAATGTTCAGTTGTCTCAAGCTGCTTCCTGTGTCTTCTGCAATCAGTCTGACTCACATTGTAACAGTAATCTAGATGCTACAGAAGAAAAACCACACATTTGTTGTATGAATGCCAAACCAACAAATAATTTTCATAAGAACTACCTTAGTTTCCTTATGAACTGAATTACATAAAGACCTTTAAATTATGCAACATACATTTGCATATTGGAAGACAATGAAACCAGACGTTTGAACATGTCTGAGACAGATTTTTTCAAATCATCATCACATGTTGGCACAAGAAGCTGTCAAATTGAAACCCGGCAGTATCACAGAGGTCTGCAGGCCGCTTCCTGCATAATCCATCTGTTGTTGCACTACCTTGTTCACCCTGCGGCCATACAGACGGCCTTAACCAGAAGAACTACTTCCACATTAAAGAAAAAGATTCTACGCTTTTATGTTCCAGAAGTCTGAGAAGGAATAAGAAGAGGGAGGAATACTCTTTCACCTCGGCAGGGTTTTGAAGGTGAGATAATGGCGCTTGAGCTGGAAGCCTAATGAGGCCCATGTGCCCACTAGATGAGCTAATGTGTGTGTGTGTGTGTGTGTGTGTGTATTCATGAGAAAAAAAAAATTACATATCAAAGGAACACTTTGGCACGGAATAAAGCGGTCAGTCTTCTTTCCCGTCTTTCCACCCCCCAGTTTTCCTACAGATGAGAGATGGATTGCGTTTTGCTTGGCCTTCATAAACTTTGGAATGCTCTAATCGGGCTCTATTCTCTGTTTTCAATCACAAACTAGTTTGCATTTACTGCTTAACTGATGCAGTGGGAATGAGGACTTTGGATATAGTTTGGTGGAAATTTGGGGGATGGAGAGACGCTTGGGAATGTATCAGTGGCAATTTGTGCATCAGCTCAACCAGAGGCACGTGATGCCATGAGAGGATTGAGATGTCATCAGTTGGGGACAATGTGATTGTACTTGAGAGGCACAATATCTGCCAAAATTTTCGTAAAGGGCAAGGGGAAAGTACACTCACTAACTTGCGCGAAGGAAAAAGATGGAAGGTTTAACAGAAATTACCTTATGGGTGTAGTATTTAAGTTTCTGAGGCATGAAAACTGGTGAACCGTAGCAAAGCACCATTAATGGAGCTACAGCATTCACGTCATTTAAAATACAAAGGTCACCTGTTGTATGTCCAAATTTATTTATTTTTTTGGTCCTGCTTTACTTACAGGCTGTAAAATACTGAAACAGAGTGGTAATGTGAAAGTGAATAGAACAGTCATTTCTAATTTCCTTATGGCATTGAACACTGTATAGTTAAATAGAATCGCCTAAAAAGATTCTGTTCAGCATCTATTCTTCTGAGAAGGCACTGCACTAAGCCGTATTATGAAACAATTAATCAAAGACTGTGGCCAAATCAAGAAAAATCCTATCTAGTGGTTCGTTCAATATAAAAGTATTGATAAAGTATTGGTAAATAAAAATGTACTATTTCAGCTAATCTGATTTCTGTCAGGACCACTATCGTCAAAGATGATTGACAATTAGCATACAGTTTGGATTGGCGGTATGGTTCTGTTCTGGGCAAGAACTCCCTGCGCATCCATGCAGCCTAGCATGGATGAGAGCAGCAATAACCCCCCAGGGTAAACAGAACAGAACCAACATAAATGTATTGCAGATATTGTTAAAGTTCAATAATTTTATGTACACATTTTAGAATTAGTCTGATTCAAAGGAGAATCAGAAGGCTGAATCCCGACTGACAGAGGAGGAGTTGGGGATGGAGGAGGGTAATTAGCTATTGAGCAATGCGAAAACTGCTGATAATACTGAGGGACCTTATATATGAATGCTTAGATAGGTGTCGTATTCCTATAGGTTGATGGGGATCAGCTGAGAGTCAGCTGATGCAAGCTTGACTAACGTGACCTGCCAGAACTAACGCTACGCTTGATTTTTAGCATTTTAAGTTCTTACATCCTGCCCAATATTGTCCTCCAAACAGTGTACAAACTGAAGAGTGTATCTATGTAGTAGGGGTGGAACGGTTCGGTTTGTATCACTGTTTTAGAGTCACGGTTTCAGTACGGTTCGGTATGTGCTATGTTTCATACGGCATTCGCATTGAACAAAAGTGAATGGTTCGTCCACGTTTTTGTTTCTGTTTTTCATCGCTGTTGTTGTTGTAATGTATTGGGAAGCCAGAATGCGCATCCATCAACAGAAACATATATTAGCCGAACCCTGTTTGTTTTACGTGTTATTTATAGCAAACCATATTACAGATGCGTTGTCAGATTTAAGTTGAACCGCGGTCCTAGCGCGTGCCGAACCGTGTGTGGAAAACCGTACGGTTAGATTTTTTTTCCAGCAAACCGTTCCACCCCTACTATGTAGGTTATGATATACACCCTCTTTGGAGTGGTGATATGACTGTGATTCAAATCACTTATTCAATGACGCTTATGATGCTACCTCAGTAGCTAGCTGCCTGTGTTGACTTAAATGCGCTGCATTATTTTGCTCATTGCGCCCTCCTGTGGCCTTGGGAGACAATTAGACCTATACAATAAAAACCTATTTAATCTGCATATAAAACATTAGAAATTAGATATTTGTTTAATTTTTATTGTGTTTGTTAAAACAAAAAATATGTTATTTGTCTCAATAAATTGTGTTAATTATAAATACAGTGGTTTATTTTTAAAAAAAATTTATATTGCTTTTTGTTTTAAAAAAGGTTATAAAAAAATTTCAATAATTATCGATACCGAACGATATGAAACATTATATCGTTGATAAATTTTTTAGCTATATCGCCCAGCCCTAGTTGACAGTAGACAGCAAAGTGGCTTGGAACAGAATTACTGGGTGTTTTGTATGCTTGAGAAAGAGTTGAGCCATATGGATGTCATAAGCTACTCACCAGCGTGAAGTCCCACTGGGGTCCAGGTGTCAGGAAAGTAAAAGAACTTCCTCGTCTCAAAGACGGCCTACAGCAAGAAAAACACAAGATAAGATTCTCAAAACAATTATTCTTCTAAAACCATTTGAAATAAAACATTTAATTCCCTCTTCACACAGAAAACCAGACAAATACAAAGCATCCAACCAGACCCAGACCTCTGGTTGTGCAGTAATGACGTAGACCATGCAGCCAAACCTTGTAGATTCATTAATATGTCCATAACCCAACAATGTCAGTGTGCCCACAAGAAAAGCCCATAAATGTAAAGACACATCCTGTACGTACCACACACCAAGCCTGGTGTAGCCCCGTCTCCCGTGACACTGCATCATGGTCTGCAGAACCGATACAGAGAGAGCGTCACTTAGCCCCGATCTCTCTAACTCACACCAAGACACTCAGTTTTTGCCATCTTTCAGCCACGTGCCCTTTCCTTCAGTCTCTATTCATCATGTCCTTTTACCCACAAATGCACTGCCCCTCATTGTTGGCTGGGCCCTTATTTGGGGATTGGTGACAACCGTCTCAGCGAGGTCATGTTTGCAAAGATACCCAGTGTTCCTTTTCTTTTTTCAGCCATGGTAATGGGACGGCCCGCCAAAACTTTTATACAAAGCCTTCAAAAACATTCTCACATTTATTATCTGCTAATTTACAGAACTATGAATAAATCATCATTAATGGAGTTATGAGGTATTGCCGTTGGATTGTTCATTTTAGCAATATTGCAAAAGAATGATCAATTACCCTGAAGCGCATGTCAGCATTATTCTAAAGAAAATATTTCTGCCTTTCACTCTGAAATCATTTTTGTTCACTGATGTAATCAAGGCCAAAAGGGTGGTGAAAAATATTTTCAACAATATATTGCATTACCATATGGCTACTTGCCAAATTAATACACTACTGATCAAAAGATTTTGTTTTTGAAAAGTCTCTTATGCTCACCAAGTCTTCAATGATTTGATAAGGAACACAGTAATAATTGTAATATTGTAAAATATTATTAATTTAAAAGAACTATTTTCTGTTTTAATATTATGGTAGTTATTTTTTTCTGTGATGTAAAGCTGAATTTTCAGCATCATTACTCCAGTCTTCAGCGTCACATGAACCTTCAGAAATTATTCTAATATGCTCATTTGGTACTCAAGAAACATTTCTTATTATCAATGAGAAAAGTTGTGCTGCCGAATATTTATAAGTCTTTACTGTCACTGTTGATCAATTTAATGTGTTCTTACTTTCTTTAAAAAAAAAAAAAATCATACTGATTCCAAACTTTAGAACAATTAATACATGGACATAATGGAATTTTCAACTCAATATTTGAGAAGACAAAGAATATTTTGCATGAGACAACAGTCCCAGTTTAGCAGTCTTTTTTCCCCCAGAAATATTTGACCCCAGAATGCTTTTGTTTTAATCGGTAAATTTTAATACTGCATAAGTTATTTAGCGGTGAAAGCTGTTTTCAATGCATGAGGATGAGTCAAAATCTGACAGCCTCCATTTATACTAACAAATGTTTTTTATATTAAAAGTCTTTATTAAATATGGGTGAACTTCATATCACAAAGAATCATCACTAAAACAGTGGAAAACAAAATGAAGACACATTCATTCTCTGGTTGCCATCTATCTTGGGTGTAGGAACGTGAATGTTTGGGCTTATTTCTTTTATTCTGTCTGATGTGGTTTCTGCAGGCATCCCCCATCTCTATATCTTTCCATGAGTTGTCTGTTTTATCATTTCGTCACTTGAGTGCAGATGACAGTAGAATGCAAATGGTGTATACGTATATAAGAAAATAGGTAATTACAGTTCAACAACTCAACAGAGAAAAAAATGTTTGTCGGAAGTGAGAGAAGCTGGTTCTCACAGAAAGACTAGTTCAGATGTGACTCATTTAACTTAAGGTGTGTTTAACGATTGAATTATGTCTGATGGTGTATATGGTACAGGTTGTTTCTTAATAACAATGTAAGAAATGTGGTGATGCAGTGAGCAGAACATTGAGAAGCTGGGTGATCCTGGGTGTGATATTATCTGACCAGACAGAGGGTGTAAGTGTGTTAACAGAGTACAGAATCTATATCAGTGTCCACTAGAAAGAGACTCTACTGTGGGTGGTCTCGACTGCTAAAGACAACAGGGGACTAAATATGTAGGTCAAATGACGCTGCCAATACCATGATGGAGTGTCCTCCATTCCACACTGCCCTGCTGAGGCAGTGTGGAAAAGTAGAGACAGCATATTTAATTTATACGGATAAAAAGAGACTTGGCTGTGACCAGGCCAATACGTAATATGTACTTAACAAGTGATATTGAAAAGTGCATATTTGAGTAATGCACCAATATTGGAACTTGCTGTCATAAAACGTGACGTTATAAAACACCATACAGCCTCTTGTCACACACTGGTTGTGTTTGCATACAAATATTAGCTAAATTCATTACCTTAAAATTCACAACTTTCAGATTCATAATTAAACTAATATTCTAAGAAGGTTTTCTTCAATAGAAAATCTCCCAACGACAGCATCACAACGACCATCATCGATGTTCAAGGGGCAATATTAGTTACAATAACGTAATATAAAATAATATTTAAAATAACTGTTTTCTATTTTCATGTTTTAAAATGTAATTTATTCCTGAATTCCAAAGCTGAATTCTGGCCATTACTCCAGCCTTTTAATGTCACAAGATCCTTCAGAAATCATTGTAATATGCTGATGTTGTGCTTAACATCTCTTATTAATGCAGAAAACATTATTTTTCTCTGAATTTTTGAATATACGGAAAGTGTAAAACAACAGTATTTATTTGAAATATTTTATAATTGTCTTTGCTGGCACTTTTGACCAATTTAATGCTGAAGAGGTATTAATTTACCTAAAAAAATCACTAACCTCAAAGTTTTGAATGGTAGCGTACTATTTAGATATACTAATTCTGATCTGTCACACAGTTTAGACTGGATGGCATGTGTGGACAGTAAAACGAAACATGGGCTGTGAGAATTATGGGACTTGAGACCTTAAAATCAACATGAGATCAAATCCAACAACCTGCTATTCTAATATGCAATATTCCACTCAATTCCCAATGGAAGTGAATCCAAATTAAACATGTCATCAGCTACTTCTGAATAGGCCTGTCGCAATAATCAATATATCGACTTATCGCGCAATATATGTACATGACCTCAATAATTTTTGGTGACGCAATATATCGCACATTATATTTACTTAAAAATGTATGTTACTATGTTTTGTACATTCCATTTGCGCCTGTGTCTTTTGCAGCTTCTTGTACATAGCATGGTGTAGTCATGAGGTGCTAGTTCAAATAAAATAAAAAAAATGCTTCTACAAAGTTTCATCTGCAGATATGGCCTTGTTTAGGGATCTGTGCCTTTGTGCATACGGACATATGACTGCTAAGTAGTGATTGAGTTTTTCAGCAATAGTGTGCACCCTTAATTTACAGAGAAAAGAAGGTCAGGGAAAAATCTGTAGATGGAAAAATCTCCATACAAGTTATTTACATTTTTCTTTTTTTCCACTTGTTACTTTGCACTTTTTGTTAGAAAATGTTTATTCTAAATATTCTTAAAATTAAAAGTTTGTTGTCATTTGGAAGTGTGTAGGCCTTCTTGCATTATTATGCCGTTACATTATGATTATATATTCAGTGGCATAAAATGGTGTTTAAAATGACAATAATATCGCTTATCGCAATTATTTCTGGGGCAATATATCGCACAACAAAAAGTTGTTATCGTGACAGGCCTACTTCTGAACATGGTTGCAATATTGATTGATTACAATATTTGGCTTACACAGAAATTTTGAGCAGACTGAATACTTGATTACCTCAATTGTGGTTTTAAAAGGGAAAAATGTGAAATGGACCTGTAGCCATATTGCGTAAAATGCCAACAGCAGCGTTTCCCAAGCCTGTTCCTGGAGGCCCTCAGCACACTCTCCATAATCAAACACACCCGATTCACCTCATCAGCTCAGTTTCAAAGACTCCAATGCCTGAAACAGGTGTATCAGATAAGAGAGACATACAAAATGTGTGCTGTTTGGGAGCTTCACAAACCGAGAAGGGATACTATGAGTGTGTAGTGCTTCCAAAACATGACTGGAATGCCGAGGTGTTGTCTGAAACGTTGGACACCGACATGACAAATATGGACCAAATAACACACACACCCTGTGATGGTTACATCAACACAAACACCTCAGAGTCTCTCACAGGCAATGTAACAGACTGCACAAATACACCAAATATGAGGCCTGCCCTGTTCTGAGAACTCCACAGGACATTACATCACTATAGTTATTACCTTCCAGTGTCAGATGATCAGATACGAGTGTGGGAACATGTAAGATGCTACTTTGTGTTCGTAGGTTGATGTCATTGTTGCATTGGTCGTTTTGATGTCTGTAAATTCATTTAAACACAACTGCACTTCTTGTGTATCGTATTCTGAATTTTGGACGTCCTAAGTAGTCACAATGTACCATACAAACCAATATTTAGTTTTAAGGGGACGGTCAACGTTGGTTTCAAGTTTTTTTCTTCTTCTGTCATTGAGAACGCAATCCCACTGACGTTAAGGTGGGAAGGGGACTCGGGTTAAGCTAAGTAGGTTTGGTTTCACCGTGTTTTACGTAGCAAACAAAGGAGAGGCCTTTGGAGGAATGATATGTCACTTACTCATCCAGATCACTCCACAACGGCTTCAAAAGCTCTCTTTGTTGTGGTCTCCACTGTCAAATATGAGACATCATATATAACGAACCTGTAGAAGGCCACGTAAAGGGTTTGAGTGTCAAAACGGCACAGAATAGATAATCTGAAATTGGATAACGTTTGCCTTAAACATCTACAATGTCCTGCTATGTGCAAAGCAGTGACGTTGTGCTCTTATCTTAACTATATCTGTTTTTTCAGTGTGTATTAAATTAAATGGGTTATTGTCGACTAAATCCTTGGGGATTACTGGACAAAACAAGGCCAAAAACAAGACATTTAATAAAAGTCTATTTTGCTTTTCCGGGACACAACACTACGTCAGAACATATAGTGAGCTTTTCACGTCCCCTTTTTTTTTTTTTTGCTCATAGTTCATAGAAGGCAAGTATTAAGGCCCATTCACACCAAGAACTTTAACTATAAAGATGATTAGATTAGCACCCACACTTAGACATGATAACATTGTATTTATTATAAGTGCATGCTGCAGTTATGTCGTCTGCCACTTTAAATGCTCAAGCACTTTAGCGCAAGATGGATTCTGATTAGCTATCAATGTTTTTATCGTTCATCAGCTGCAAAAAAAACAATCATTGTAGTTGTGGTGTGGACTCTGCTTTTCTTTAAAATTTAGAACAATTTTTTAAATTACCTTTATTGATGTTGTTACAGTGTAAACAGGCCTTTACTATATTTGTGACCCTGGACCACAAAACCAGTCATAAGTCGCTGGGGTATATTTGTAGCAATAGCCAAAAATACATTGTATGGGTCAAAATTATTGATTTTTCTTTTATGCCAAAAATCATCAGGATATTAATTAAAGATCATGTTCCGTGAAGATATTTTGTAAATTTCTTACTGTAAATATATAAAAACTTAATTTTTGATTAGTAATATGCATTCTTCATTTGGACAACCTTAAAGGCGATTTTCTCAATATTTAGATTTTTTTGCACCCTCAGATTCCAGATTTTCAAATAGTTGTATCTCGACTAAATATTGTCCTATCCTAACAAACCATACATCAAAAGAAAGCTTATTTATTCAGCTTTCAGAAGATGCATACATCTCAATTTCGTAAAATTGACCCCTGACTGGTTTTGTGGTCCAGGGTCACATTTATAATGAATTATTATAGAAAAAAATCATTTTTAAATCATTAACTTTAATCAATATTGAAATCACGATTACTTTTTTTCTTTGGATTTTCACATTCAATTAACTGAAAAACAATATGTAAAATGAAAATACAAAAATGGAAACACTTTAATATAGGGGCCAATTCTCACTATTAACTAGTTGCTTATTAGCATGCTTATTAATAGCATATTGGCTGTTTATTAGTATTTATAAAGCGCATATTCTGCATGACCATATTCTACATCCCTAATCCTACCCAATACCTAAATTTAATAACTACCTTTACTAACTATTAATAAGCAGCAAATTACGAGTTTGAGGCAAAAGTCGTAGTTAGTTAATGGTTTGTTAATAGCAAGAATTGAACCTTAAAATAAAGTGACCATAAAAATATAATTTATAACAAAAATAAAAAATTAAGTTATAACGTGACACCATAATTTTATCTTAAATATCATGTTTTCATAATCATTAGATGCCAAATTCACAATTGAAAATACATTTAAACTTTGTAAACTATCTTGCACTTTTTATGCTATGGATGGATAAAAGGGGGGAAAAAATCATGCAGCTTCTTGTAAAGAGATATTACATTTAAGTGATGACTTTTGACTTTTCAGAGAATAAAGAAGGTGAAACAAATCCCATACACTTACATTAGAGTAACTGCATTATAAGGTCACTAACTACTATGTTCTCAACTCTCTGTAAACCGTTCCCTTGAAAGATATCCAATACAATGTAACTCTTTGTTTTTGAATGCTTCCTTATGAACATTCCATTACATTCTATTTTTTCTATTTACAGGGTGACGTCATTGTGACACTGGTGCTTTTGATGTGTATGTTGTGTGACTTCCTAAAAGTCTTAGTTGCGGACCAGTTTGTATAATATCTAGGAAAGGGCTCTTTTGACATCGGCCACCAAGCACATGCCTCGCGACACCCAAATAACCACCCTGGCAACTGCATAGCAACACACTAAAAACATGTAGAATATCATAGTATCCACATAGCAATGACTTTGCATCATAGTGGCAAGTAGCTCTCAAATTTTCCAAAAAATTGTAAAAAGTTTCCATGCCATTTTTGTTGTTTTCTGATTGTATAAGAGGCAAATGGGGTCACATTTCCTGGTGTTCCAATCAGGCAGAAGGCTTGGCATGAGAGAAAAAAAAAACCAGACCCTCTGCCAAAATAAACTGTTGTTGTTTCAGCCTGTGATAAAAGCGCATTTGATGCTCTCTGGCTTCTTTCTCAGGGTTTATGTGAGATCTTGCATATATTTGGCATGGTCTATTTACATGTGGTACCTTGGACACATTATAAGATGTCTTCTTTGTTTAATATTGGTAAAATGGCTATACACCAAGATCTGACAAATGTTAAAGTCATTAATTCATTCTAACCTTTTAATCAAAAAGATGAAAGGATTTGAAGATCAAAATCAATGTCTTTGCATACAAATAAAGATGCTTGCCGTATGTTTTTGTTTATTTTATATTGTCAAATTATTATATACCCGTTTAGTTTGGTTGTTTTTATTAAATCTGCTTTGGTGTGTATACTTTGTAAACATCTTTGGCACTAAAATGTGAATGATGTTGTTGTTGTTAGTAAGTCAGTCAATTGCATTACACAGCTGATTAAGTGATAATGCCGATTTAAAACACTGCTAAGTTTTTGTGTAAAACTCTTAAGTGAGCTAAAAAAATAAATCACTTGTTCATTTAAAACGGGTGTGTTAGAGTTTAGCTCCAACTTGCCTCAACACACCTGACTGGAAGTTTCTATGCCTAGTATGAGCTTGATTAGCTGGTTCAGGTGTGTTTAATTAGGGTTGGAGCTAAACTCTGCAGGACACCGGCCCTCCAGGACCGAGTTTGGACAGCCCTGTGTAAGAGGTTTGAGCTGAGCATTTTTAATGCTGTGGCTTGAACGCTGCTTATATTTTATGAGGCATTAGCGCTATCGTGTGGTGGGATGAAACATTAACGTTACAGCAATACATACGCTCTCCTGCTGTCATGCTTTGTTTTCATTAGTCGACATATTGCGGAAGTTTTTCTCACTTTTGAAAGCACAACAAACTCATACACCTATACTCACCCATTTAGTGGCATGTTACAGAATAACTTATTAGATATGGTTTATATAGATAAAACTGTTTCAATGTAATCAACAAATACGTTTTTATTACCAGATCTAAATGCAGTTCGCATAACTGCAAAGGGATACGCAGACCACCACAATAGTGCGAGCATTGGAATAATAATAAAGACCACTACCAACAACAACAAAGTGTGTGTTATGATCTTCCTGACCGTTTGAAATTGCGCTCTGGAGACGCGTCGATATCCGCCACCGACGACTTTCTCTTGTTCCTCCTCGGTCTTTCGTTCACCGGCTCCGCCATCGGCGCTGGAGATCCGTCAGTTTCCTCCATTTGAAAATGTGGACCTGGAATGCGTTACTGTAAACCGTGTATACAAAACGTAGTACAATTAAAATGAGTTATTCTGGGGGGTGAATTGAAAGGGGGAAGTTGGCAATATTCAACGGATGGGACGGATTTTGAATATGGCGGAAATCTGAAATCGTAGCCAATCAGGAGTGAGCAGGAGGGGGCACGGTTGATGGCGACTAATGACGTAACACTTCCGCGCCTGCGCTGTCTCGTACAATGTCGTGTTTTGACGAGCTTAGCCTATGTAAAATAACAGAAAAGCATTGTTATTTTTTTATTCTTTTATTTCTTTAGTTCCATACACAAATGTATTTACCAATAACAAACCTTAGTTTCTGGCATTCAATGAAACTAAGCAGTAGGTCAAACGATCTCTAGCTGCATCAGAAAACAAAAAGATGTAAAAAGCTAAAAACTCATTCTAATTATATTTTAAATGTATATATTTTTTCAATGTGCATATAAATGTATTGTTTAAGCCCCTTGGCTTTTTGTATCTTTTAGATATTATAGGCTGTTATTGTAGGGTAATATCTGTTCTATTTCTAATTAAGATAAAAATGTAGCCTGAAGATAAAAAAAATATATGGTAAACACTGCTGCTCATACTTAAGTCTATTTTTGTACTCAACACAGCTGACTTTTAGGGGCTTTCATTTCTAAAATATTTTAATAATAGCATCTGAATATAGTACGGTTGATGTATAGACTTTTGTAGTGCCAATTCTACAAAATTGAACAAATCTGGTAAAGTAAGCTGGCCTAATTGAGTTTGTGTAGATAGGACAAGTAAAGGATGATATGCTGTAGTTTGTGTAAGGTCAGATAAGATGAGCAGTTGGTTTTGAACTTTGTGTTTGAAGGCAAATTTGTCTCGCACAATAGTCCAGACCTCATTAGAGCTGAAAATGTTTAGCTTGTTTACTGCAAACTAATGATGCTTATTCTGTATGGTTACTCATTAGAAAGGCAGTTCAAGCATTGTAAATACACAAAGAAAAGCTTGACAGTTCCCAAAGAATACACTTTTTGTAACTATGAGTCAGTAAACCTTCATTTTTTTTCTTTCTTTCCTTTTTTTGTAAAATGCCTACTTATTCTACTCAAGGAAAACTTAAACAAAACAAAAACAAAAAAAATCTAGTCTGTTGTAGTTACATTTTTATTCTTATACACCACATAATAATAATAATTTATAAAGTATAATTAAAATATATTATAAAAATACATATTTAAAAATATTTATTAGTGTTTGTCAACACATTCCCACAATGTTCATTAAAAAATATAAAGCAAATATAAATTGAACCAAATACCATGCTCTGCACATATCCATGAAATATCAGGAAGGATACTTCATATTCACATTTGATGGTGAAATCGTGGTTAATAATTCCCAGTGTTAATAATTCCCACACTTTTGAACTATTAACATGAACAATAATTAACACTGCTAAATGTGACTAAAGGCATAAGGATATTAAAAAATGATAAACATTTAACAAAATGATTTTCTGTAAATATTTGACGTCAAATTGACATTGACTTAACGTTGGATTTTGGTTACACAACCTAAAAACAACAAAATATCAACATCAGCTGACGTCGGTATCGGACATCAATTTAACATTGACATTAGACATTGAATTTACATTGAATTTTGATCACCCGACGTCGCAACCAAAATGTAACCAAATATCAACGTCTTATGACGTTGTGTGCCTGCTGGGAAGCTGCTTTAAAACAATGCATATTGTGAAAAGTGCCACAACCTAAAATGATCTGAACTATTTATATCAACATTTTTCTGCATATATTAGCTACATGCCTAATTTTTAGCTTGTGTCTCCTTCCAACCAACAGAGGGCAGAATTGATCTGCAGATGAAGTCAGTTTGGGAGCAGGTATTCTCTGATGGAGTGTTAATTACAGCATTTTCATTTATTTGGTTGTGAATACATAGTTAGGGTACCTCAAAATAGCAACCAAGCTTATTCAAATTTCACTCATATTCAGCTGAAAAGAAAACATTTATTTATATTTTTCCAGTGTATTTTTGCAATAACCTCTTCGAAGGCCTGAGCACACATGAAGTAGGAAAAGGGCACTGATGGCCCTTTGAGCACAATGGGAAGCCGAAGAATTGATCCCCAGTCATTATAACCGATTTCAAATGGTGCTAGATGACAGAAGGGACTCTAAGCACCAGAGGAAATCAGTCATCCTTTGGTGGGGAGAGATGGGGGCAGGAACAGCCAGAGAGGGAGAAAGAGCTTCAGAGAACACAGTCTCTCTTTACTAGCCCGCTCAGGTAAAGTTAACCGTTCAAATGAGGGAATGAGAAAAACAAATGCACACCACAGTTCCTATAAAGAAAGATAAGTAGGCAAATCCAAACACAAACTCTTTCACGATGTATTCATACAATAAATAGCCTATGGTCTCTGTAAGCAATGTAGTTATTAAATCAGTCCTATATCATATAAAACTTGTTCAATGCAAAGTGATTCCTGCTTGTTTCCCCACAAGGAAACAATCCCTGGTTATCCTTGAACCTCATTTTGAAGAATTCAATTAACATCGCATGTTTTCTAGATGAAGTTTGTCAAATTATTTGGTTGTATTTCAATGAGAAATTAGAAATTACAATTGAATTAAAGTTAGTTTAAGGTCCTGTGGCATTTCATCACGCTAGTGTTATTGTGAACTAAAACTATAAAAAGTTTATAAAATAAATAAAATAAAATATTAATATTAAATTTAACTTTAATTAGAACAAATTACTAAAAATTAGAAATGTTGCCTTGGTGACTAACTGAAATAAATTAAGCTGAATTACTAAACCTGGAAAAAGGTCAAAAGAAATATTTAAAAAAACTAATAAAACAAACTAAAAGAACTAGAAAAGCGAATTCAAAATATTAATAAATACTATAATTGTACATAAATACTAACATTTCTCATTGCTGTCACATTTATAAATTCATACACTGTTATAATACAAGATATTGCATCATATTCCTTTTGTTCCTACTTCCATGTTCTGCATCATTCACAGACATTGCATCATGCAAACGTAAGATATCATCTCAAGATAATCAAGCCTTACAGAAACATCCAAAACAACATTTAACACTGATGTTTTAGTGGATAAATACGGCAGTGAATAAAATGTTCACCTACTTCAACTTAAGCTCAGTTTAAGTCATTACAACTCATTTGTGTTATATTAAAGGGGTCATATGATGCGATTTCAAGTTTTCCTTTCTCTTTGGAGTGTTACAAGCTGATTGTGCATAGATAAGATCCCTGAAGTTGCAAAGACTAAAGTCTCAAAACCAAAGAGATATTCTTTATCAAAGTTAAGACTCTGCCACGCCCCCCTAAAACGGCTCATTCTAACACGCCCCCACATATCTACCACACTATATGGAAATATTTGCATAATGCCACCCAAATGTTCACGCAAAGAAAGAACGCGTGGTTTCAGTAACCGCAGTTAGTGTTGAAGCAGCATGTCAGGGAGACGCTGTGTGTTTCAGTGCGAAAGCAAAAGCACTTTATTTGGATCACTTACAACAGAACAGCAATGCATTTTATAGACGACCGTTTCGTGAACCTAGGAGAGGAGGTAATTCTGACTTTACTATGACAATCTGGCGCTTCTGAATCAGCTACTGTTATGTTATTAGTTTAAGTATTTGCTATAGAGAGAGAGCTGTGTGTGTGTGCGCGCGCGCGAGAGAGAG